TTTAATCTACTTCTACAATATGGGTATCAAATGGAAGGGGTCGTTGAGAGTAATTCGAAAAATAATGTGACGTTATTCTAGATCCAATATGACGGACCATCCAAGATGGCGGAATAGCTATTTTTAATATACTTCTACAATATGGGTATCAAATGAAAAGGCTCGTTGAGAGTAATTCGAAAAATGATGTGACGTCATTCTAAATCCACCATGACGGACCATCCAGGATGGCGGAATGGTCATTTTCAATATACTTCTACAATAATAATAATAATAATATAATAATAATAAACTTTATTCAGTACAATAGAAATACATACTGAGATGGCGAAGTTCATCTCTTGCTGATAGCAAGGTGATGGTCTTCCACTCAACCAGGCTTAAATCTAGTCTTAGTATCTAACCAAAAAAAGAAAACCCATGAAATGATCAATTTATGATATAAAATGGCAAAGATAAAAGAAATGTAATACAGAGAAAAAAAAAAGTTAAGTATAAGTTAGACCAATTAAACAAGGGTTTTCAAATATTAACCAATTACGAATACCTATATATCAACAGGTAGGTATCGAAGTGGTCCAGTTATTCACTTTTGTTTTCAAGAATAAAGATGTAACAAGATGACTGAATTACTAAATGAATACAAGATAATAAGTTAGACTCAGTCTTATTGAAGATACAGTTCCCTGCAGGCTTTATGAAAAGTAGAGATAGACCTGTCCTTGACAGAGTTCGGTATGGAGTTGTATATGGCAGAAACGTTATATGAAAAACTTCTCTCAAACATGCTCGATCTGTGAATAGGTGGGGTTATAATACCCTTTGACCGTATGTTCAGGTTATGAACATCTGATCGAAATTCGATTTTCTTGAATAAATAACTTGGCTGTTTCGATAAAATGATTTTATGGTACAGCGTGGCACAGTGAAGTTTACGAAGAGATTTCATATTTAGCCAACCAGCTTCAGTAAGCTTATGACGAATGGGTTGCCTCTTTCTTATACTGAAGATGAAACGCAAACAGTGATTCTGTATTTTTTGTATCCTATGAACATCAACTGCCGTGAGACATGGACCATAAACAGTGTCACAATGGTTAAACGTTGACAAAACTAGCGAGTTACAGAGTACAGTTCTTAGATGTCTGTTCAATAAGGAACGTGAGCTATATAGGAGTTTCAGTTTCCAGATTGACTTCTTTATACATTCAGAGACATGTTTATGGAATCGTAGGGAGGCATCTGTCCATACTCCAAGATTTTTTGCTGCATCAGAAAAACTCAAAGGGACATTGTTGATGGATAACTGAATATCTTTCTTCAATATTTCCCGAGCCTTGTTATTACCGAATAGTAAAGCAGTTGATTTGTTGGGATTTAGAGCCAGGTGATGATCACGGGAGATTCTATAAATAGTGTTCAGTTCACTATTAATAATTCTACTACTATTCAGCATATCAGAAGGATGAAAAGAGTAAAGAACCTGTGTGTCATCGGCATACATTTGTAAATGGCAATTATTAACGAAAGTGTGGAACAGAGCAGTGTAGATAATATACAGAATGGGACCAAGTATAGAGCCCTGAGGAACACCACAAGTTAGTGACCTCAAGTCTGATGAGCTGCCTTCTAAAATGACTCGCTGTTGCCTATCACTGAGGTAATTAGAAAAGAAGGTTACCGAATTCATAGAGAGTCCTATATATTTCAGTATACATATCAAAATATCATGATTGAGCGTATCAAATGCTTTTGAGTAATCCAGTAAAACCACAATTGTGAGTAATCCAGAATCTGTGGCTTTGAAAATTTCGTCTGTGACGTTAAGCAGAGCGGTGGCACAACTGTGACCTTTTCTGAATCCAGATTGTGTTTCTGGGAGTATGGAATTTTTTTCCAAGTACTCAACCAATTGTTTTTTTATGATTCTTTCTAGAATTTTTGAAATAGTGGGGAGAATATGGGTATCAAATGAAAAGGCTCGTTGAGAGTAAATCGAAAAATCCAGCTAGCGATAACTAAAAATTGAAAAATAAATTAAAAGTAAGAAAACTCCATAATAAGGAGCTTTTATTTAAACGCTCTGGAAAGAAGAAAATAAAATTCTTAATAATTTCAACTATCAACTTATAACCTCATTATACACAATTTATATTATCATAAAAGCTTGTCGCGATGATCAATATTTAATTAAATTGTAATTTCAAAAATTTTATCTCAGCAGATTTTACATAATTAAATAGGTACTAGTTCATTCACACAAGTGAATCGCGCAACAAGCTTTTATGATCATATAAAATGTGTATAATGAGGTTATAAGTTGATAGTTGAAATTATTAAGAACAATTTCATTTTCTTCTTTTTAGAGCGTTTAAATAAGAGCTTCTTAATAAAAAGTTTTTTTATCTTTTATTTTGATATTCTCCACATTCCCAGTATGCTCAAATCGTTTCGAAGTTTTGAATACTGATGTACTTCGTGATATTGGTTCTCGATCTTGGTGACTCGTATTGAAGAAATCTAGAACTTCTTCGTGAGTTCTTCTTCTATTTCCGAATACATATCATATCTCAATACGGTTTTCACAAAATGATATATTCTTCAGTTAAGAAAATTAATGTCGTTCATTCATTCAGTCAAACATTGTCAAAAGCATTCAAATTTAGTTTTCCAAATCAACAGTAATCACCACAACCATATAACTTGACAAGCAGATCATTTTTCTGTCTATTTCAAATAAGCAAGTTTATGATAATTCCGATAAAACAGAAAACGTGGTAACATTGGCGATACAATTTTTTAACTGCCACATTTCCAATTCACTATGTATAAAAATTCAGGAAATCTAACACCTGGTTACTGAGATGGCTCCATACATTTGATTAACTCTGTATATACACGTGCACACAGCTAAGCAACCCTCACAAAAGTACATCTCTCCAAACTAGGTTATAATTATGATTCGACTTCAGATTCAAAAAACTTCAGATCCTCCTCAGTAGTACCTAGTTGTAGTATAGTACCTAGTTGTAATATAGTACCTAGTAGTAGTAGTAGTAATAGTAGTATAGAAAATAACCATCCTATAAGAACTTTCATAATCATTCTGAACAAGAAACATATATATGAGTAACTTGTCGGTTCTACTCGGTTCTACTCAGATGGCGTTACTTTCATTTTATCGATGAAAGACGCCTCGGGGTGGATATAATGCCAACTTGATTTTTGTTTGGCTAGGCTTCGCTGAGTCGGCGGTCTTAGGACTGCTGTCTGGAGACTACACTGCACTGATGAGAGTCAAAGAGCTCGAAACCGGTCTGTGGTTGTCTAGCGGCCTGGCTTAATCGAAATCAATAGGCATTCAGGAAAGAATCACTTGTATCAGTATTCGTTTAAACGAGTCGATGCATAGATTTCGGGAGGATGTAATTCAATATCCTGCGTGGCATTAGCCAGGGAAGTAGTTGTTTTCCTCCCGAAATCTACCATTGTTGTTCATTTTTTTATGAACACTGGGTGGAAATGACTGTGAGCTTTTCACATTTATTTAGATAGGTGAGTTTTTCATAATTTCATAATTTTGAGCACTGAAACAGCCCTCATGATATTGATTGATACATAGTGAGTTCTGAAAAAGATATCCAACATCTCATGATTATCTGGTGAATATCTTCATTAGCCACAATATAAAATCATGTTCTGAGTTGTACTTCAATTTGATATTTTATAATACCTATAGTATACATCCATCTCTAGGTCAGGCTATCAAGGAAAACGCATAACGTTGAGTCAGTGGAAAATGTAACAATTCCTTATAATGAACTTCTTATTGTCCTCATTGCTGTTATAAAATTAAACGCTATTGAGAAATAATGCACTTTTAGATGAATTTCAAGAGAAAGTTAGCGACCTTTCACATTTGTGCAGAATCTATTTTCCAACCTATCAATTTCTCATTTTGAGCCAATGTTTAAATCAGTTAAGTGCAGAAAATTATGGGTACTTCCAAATGCTGTAATTCTTGTATATGACTCCCAAATGACGAAAGCTACCAGTTGAACCTCATATAATTTATTCATAAAATTATCGATATTATCAAATGCAGCTGCGAAACTTTGGCGTTGTAACATTTGCGTTCATATTTCGACATGTGATGTCCTGATCTCGATATAAAATTATTGCAAAAGTGATCGATCATTCCTATACAGGGTTTTTCACGATGAACGTACTGGAATGTTCGGGTGGTTCAAGATTCAGAATTCTGATCACCCTGTATCTGTTCCAATCAAATGTCAGTAGAAAACGAATCCTAAAATTGAAAAATCTCCATTTCGAACACCCTATATCTCTGTAATCATCAGTGTGAAAATCAGATCTTCAGGGAGATTCAATGAAATACAGGGTTCCCTTTGAAAAATCATAGTTGCTGTCACTTTCTAGTAGAAGCGGCAACGGCGAATCTTTTATATACTTCAGGCCATACTATTTTCATATTCATAACTTACTTGGTTTTTCAGGTAGACAAGTTCATAACCTTCCAGAAAATCACAACTAAAAAAAAAATCCTTCGATCCAGATCCTGCTTGATTTTCATTATGGAACTTTGTCCTAATTTTTTTTCACCATAAATAACTGCTTCATCAAAACTCCTTTCTGCGATTGTTGAATCTACTCTTCGGCAATATTGATCGAAATAAGAGATAACACTCAATTGCTGGGAAAATAAATGATTGATCTTTTCTGATCACCAGCTAGAGTGTGATACATGGTTTACTAGACAACCTGTAAAGATTCATGGTTGGTGCGTTTCAACAAGATTCAAAAATAAAAACGGAAGAGATTCAGACGCATTAACAGTTTCATGTGGATCAGGACTTGAGAAAATTTCGCCTTTCAGACATACCTACTCTATGAGCAACTATAGTTGTTATCTTAGCTCATTTATTCCCAAGGATTCAAGAGAACCACTGGTTGTTAAGATATTTCTTTCTTGATTCCAGAATGAAAGACAAAGACTGATGAGAAGAAATATAGTTAGGTATGCAGTATTAGCTTATGTGATCACACTCCAGAGGGTGTCTTTAAGGGTTAAGAAGAGGTTTCCTACGTGGCAACATGTTGTAGATTCTGGTAAGTATATTCATTAGAATTTCATCTTATATTCAAATGAGAAATAACTTGGTAATCAATGTGTTACAGGGCACAAGTGACTATATTCATAATCTCAAGTGTATATCAGTGAACTTCAAGAAGGTTCAGGAAATATAAATATTTTTCATGTTACACAGTGAAAAAAAAATTACACCAGTTCACACCAGCTAACACCCTTGGGTGTCCCCTGAGGTCCTGATCATTTTAGTGGGAATTAACTCTGATATTTTTGACACCATCATAGGGTGTCATTCGTTCTCACATACAGTCAAGAACTACACTAGAGTATCTAGAGCTAATTTGATCGATTCGTGTTATTCAACACCAGAGTGGTGACTGTACAATCATTTGGTGATTATTTTGACACTGTATCTGTTGCGTTTTTGCTTTTACTGATGATATTATGACAATATGTGAATATTTGTCAAATATTCTTCTGTTGTGAAAACACACTTATCGAGTGCTATCACGCTGAGAAGCAGTGTTTTCTTGTATGCATCTGAGTGTTGAATAACACGACTCTGATATACTAACATTAGTATTCAGTGTATAAAACGATCCAATGTAGTGAGAAATGTGACTTACAAAACATCTCTGAGCTGATACTATTTGTAGGCTGTCGAGAAACGTGCGTCGAAGGAGCGCTAGTGTCACCATCTATCAAGAAATTCACTAAATATTTTCCTGTGCACAAAATGTCTACTTTGATATTCAATTTTATGTTCAATCTGGTTCGATATAAGTACTCTATATCGCTTCGCAATATAAAAATCATCATATATAATTTATGAATCAGCATAAAATTTATTTAGGTAATGCATTATTTTCACGAAATCATCCGTTCTCATTGTCACCTATCAATCTGGATACCAGAATTCTTGGATGATGATATACCTACACAATGTCAATCCTTTCTTCAATGAGTTCAGGTTTTTCAGTGGGTAATTTCATAATCAGCAAACATTATTTATTCACATGGGAGAATGCAAGACGATGATGCCCCAAATCTCATAATTCATACACGGTTCTGATTTGTTTGTGATTGGTGAGGGTGTAACTAGGTGATAATTTTATATAATAAGTGTATTTTTTGCGTTAACTTGGATGATATACCACTATCGAAAGTAATTACTTTTCATCCTGTTGGTGTTTCTCTCGAATGGATATTTCAGAACTCCTCTAAATTACCACATCCGTGTAATTTTTCACTATGACTGTGTGAATTGACACCCCTGTACACGGTATTATCAAATTTCTAATATTATTGGTATGAAATTGCTAATCAAGTGTTGATTCAATCGGAGTTATTTGTGAAATCCACTCGGTTGAAATTACACCCGGAAATTTTTCACTGTGTAGGTTCAATTATCCAGCAAAATTTCAACGTTGATAAGAAGACCTATAAAAAATCTATACTTGATTTCGGTGTGGAGAACTTTCTCACTAACATATATGTAATATCTGTAAATATTTGTTTATTCATTTGATTTGTCTGTACCATATTAGATTCACTCTACTCATTTTCACCCTGTATCGAATATCAACTGAAGCACCTGTGTCAACTATATATTTCCAACATTGATCTTTGATGACAATCTGGCTAAAAGAGTAATGCCCTAATTGTTATAGATCTTACCCTCCTAGTTCAATGAAACCATTTTGGTTTTGGCATTTATTCTAGAACCTCTTGAGTGAACCGACGGTCTCTATCTACATCGGGTCATCCTAGTTATATCTATACAGTCTGCATACTTTCGTAACAACAGCATTTCGTTCGCTTTTAATTTTTTCTCTTACAATATACGACTCAACACCTATTATAATATTCAGCTTTGCCACAACACACACAGTTCGTTTCCAAATGATACGTCAAATTGGTATAACATTCGTCACACTGCAACAAACTGATCAATTATACCAGATGTAATTTGTTTACAGCCAAATACATTTGTATGCAATAGCATTGGAGGAAATGAGAAAAGAAAGCGACAGAGTCTTCTGTTCTCTACTTATAGCTAAAGTGCTTAGCGGTATTGTTTCTTGTATATATCTTCCTCTGGTTTATCGAAGGTTTTGGTTCATATCATTCGCTCAAGCTTCAATTCCCTCAACCACCTCAGGACACGATGTCAAAATATTCGATCGTGTCTGATGAACAGCATTGTAGCCTACCATAATAGGAGGACTGTTTCTGGGTTTTCCCCTAGAATCTGCAGCAGCTATACTCCACTATGTCCAGTTTCCTTAGTTGTTCTCAGAGTCTGCTCAAATTCCCCGTTAGAAACTTCGTAATCGACCTTAAACATTCATTTGGATCTTGTTGAGGTTGTCGAGCAGATGGCCTATCGCAGTCTTGGAAATCTTCGATCGATGATCCTCTCTTTGTGAACATTCCACCAGCATAGGTATGTGTGAACTGTACAGAAATTCAATTCCAATGGAGGTTGACAATAACACAAATAATGGTGTGTTTCGTAATGGAAAATATTGATTACACACACAATTCGCTTCACTATAAAAAATATGTTAACACGATATTATGAGGTTTGACTCTTTACGTTTAAACACGACTCCATTCATTTTTGCTTTTCACTTAACATTTGCTTATGACACTAGCTGCACTTGCACACATTGTGGGTCTAAAGTATATCCTTCCGCTATTAACTTCCAGAAAAAGAGTCATTCGTTTTCTGCATTTTTTCATATTCATTCTCAATAGGTAATACGTTTTTTTTTTTAAATGAGCTTCTGCTTCTGCTTTCTGCTTCTTAAGTTGAAACATAAGAAAATACTTCTGAACTTCACGTTATCTACCATATATTTACCAAATTATAGGAGATAAACTTCTCCTTATTATATAACAACTTCTATTCTCTGAATGTCTCAGTACGTTTTTATTGTTTCATGTTGAACATTGTTCCACATTTCAACATAATACCCACCTCATAGTCATACACCTTTTCTTGATTCTTATTTTGAAGTACTTATACTAACCGAAACACTGTCACATACCGTTTTCATCAGACCTTTGTACGATCTTTCATAACATGGAGAATGTGGCATCCAATGCATCTAAATACGATAGAATTTATGTATTATGTGTATCTCGGTATTCAACGATGGAAGTGAATTCTTGCAATGTGGTTATGCTCTCATCTGTTGTTGAGAAATGTCACTATCTTTACATATTTGCCTATAACGTCATCACGAGCTATAGCGTTTTCGAAGGATGACGATTTATATTTTGGTGATGATTTTAACTGACGAATGATAGTATCCAATACTTTTCATGATCTAAAGTAGAAGCCCATGTTTATCTAATATACTATATATACTCAGAGAAGTCAGAATGAACTACGTATATTCATACCGTATAGATTATTTAGCCTGAAATCAACTAGTGTCTATATACTACTACTACTACATTCATTATACACTGATTCAGAATGAAAATTGAGATATTACAATTGATCAGAGTATTTGGTAGTGTGTGGTAGTTAGATTTGATATGATCAACTCATCACAGCCCGAGAGTAATGGAATAATTATATACAGGGTGTTTCGAAATTCGACCGACAACGTTTGACAGGTGATAGCCCTCGTGATTTCATAATCATTGAGATAGGAACATTCGGTCTTTAAGTGTTCAGTTCTCGAGATACAAGGCGTTAAAGTTAAGAAATGAAAGTAATTGTTTCGCAATATCTCCAGAATAATTGAATATAATTCATTCCACTTCGGTATATGGTTTCATCTTTGAATGGGCCATTTTTTGACCTGGAAGCCATTCCGGACATTTTGTCCAGTGGTGCCCTACAGGGGGTTGTGGCATTTTTTCCTTCCATATTTTCTACGCCACTGATTGAATTTCGATTATTTCCAATTCCTCGAATTCATTGTTCAATTTTGTTCAGAAAATGCATCACCTTCAACTGAGCTGAAATAAACAGTTTTCGAGATATTCGACCCAAAATAGAAGATTGCATAGTAATATTTCATCATTTTCAGTAGTAGAAAATTGCAAAAATATTTTTCTGGTGTTGAGTAGATTAGATACTATTCAGATCTCATGCTATAGCTGAACAGAAATAGTTATTCCACGCATAAAGAGAGAACAAAAATGTTCGTAATTTTCTAATACTGAGGAAGATGAAAAATTACTATGCAAACTTCTATTTTGGGTCAAATATCTCGATAACTGTTCATTTTAGCTTAGTTGAAGGTGATGCACTTTTTCAACATAATTGAACAATCAATTCGAGAAATTAGAAATAATTGAAATTTCATCAGTGGCGTAGAAAATATGTGCGGAAAAGTTATCACAACCCTCTGTAGCGCACCTCTGGATAAAATTCTCGGAATGTCTTTCTGGTCAAAAAATTAACCATTGGAAGATCAAACCATATACCGAATTTGAATGCATTTAATTCAATTTTTCATGAGATATCGAGAAAAAACTATTTTAATTTCTCAACTTCAACGCCCTATATCTCGAGAACTGAACACTTCAAGACCGTCTGTCCCTATCTCAGTGATTATGAAATCACGAGGGCTATCACCTGTCAAGCGTTGTCGGTCGAATTTCGAAACACCCTGTATATATATATATACATATATGTCTCTGAAGAAATAAAAATTGTAATAGTGAGGCGGGGATGTCGTGAATTTTTCATTCACAAAGATTCAGAAACACTTTGACGTATTGATCGTGAAGATGAGGAATCACGATATTCTACTTCATATCTATCACTCATGGTTGATTAATTCAACTCGTGCATGCTGTTTTCTCCGCATCAAATCAATTTCAGTCGCATCTAAGACTATCACTAAATAACATTCTCAGGACCATTACTTATTACATCAGATGCTGTTTGGCCTGGAGACGAACGAGTGTGAATTAAATAATACAAATTATTCAATTCAAATCGAAATCATATGTAAATTGTTGTATTTTTTATTATAATCATTGTGAGCAGTCC